TCCCAGGAATTGTAACTCAAATGTGTGTTTTGATGTTCTGCTCCTTAATGCATTCCAAATCACTCCTCTCAACTCTTCAGGGAGGGGGGCAAAAAAAGTATAAAGAGGCTTGGTGGATTTCCTGCTTTTAAGGGAAAAAATAACATCCTGCTTTTGTTGAGGGAGGGGATGAAGATCAGGTTGGCTTGTATGCCATCTTTCACCTTTTACAGTTGGTTTTTAAAGAGATTACATCATGCTCCCACTGATCTTTCTGATGTTTCCCTCCTCCATATTTTCAACACAGCAGCCAGAGTGATGCTGTTAAAATACAAGCCAGATCACTTACTCCTCAGCTGAAAGCCACCCAATGGCTGCCCACTCAGTGTCCTTGCCATGACCCTCTGGCCCGACACAATCTGGTCCGCCATTACTTCTGGGCTCCATTTCTATGCACCTTCCTTGCTCACACTATTCTCTAGCTAGTCCACCTGCCCCTGCCCGCCCTCCTACCCCCAGTCCTGTGAGTCTTTGAGTTCACATGTCTTCTTTTTTGTTTTTAGATTTTTAAATTTTATTATTGTTTTCACATGTCTTCTTAATGAGGCTTATTGTAGCCACCTTAGGTAGCCTTGCTAACTGAGCCCCTGACGGCAGGCACTCCCTTTCCCCTACTGCCTTTCTATTTTCCATGACATAATTTATTTTTAAAAATTAGTATTCATATAGTTGACTTTTCTTCCCTTTATGATACATGGTTCTGTGAACTTTAACGCATGTGGAAATCTCCATAACCATCATCACAAGATTCAGAACAGTTCCTTGACTCTAAAAATGCTATAAGGGGTTGTACTAACCCCTTATAATCATGCGCCCCTCAGCCCCCAACACCAGGCCACCACTGATCTTTCGGTAGGACTGCAAGGGTCCTGGAGAGCCTGTCACCACAGGTAGCCAAAACCAGAGAAGAAGTTGATTTGAGAAATTCTAAGTTTATTCCTACAAGCTCTTGAAGAAGGAATACAGCCAGGTTTCTCCTCTGAAGTGTTTCAGAGTTTAGTTCTGAGCCCTCAAGTTAATATACAAGAAACAGGTTTTTTACAATGTCACAAGAGGCACTTGACACTCCAAGCAGGCAGGTTCTAAAATGATCATTAGGAAATTGTCTATATCTGCATTTCTCCAGGAGCCATTGGATCACCAGTCACTGAAACTTCGTGTGTCTTAGTTTATCCAAATTGGGGTGATGTTTCATGTCTGACTACTTATCTTACCTTATTGACCTCCTTCCCAAGTTGGAACATCCCTACTGATTAAGCTTAAAAGGAATTTTTACTGTAAGGGAGTGGACTGTTATATTTTGGATTTTTAATAAAGTAAATCTCCAATTATGTTATATTTCCATATAACAATCTTTTCTGTGTAGTATTGCCTTCTCAAGAATGCCATATAAATGGACTCATATATATATATAGTATGTAACCATGGCTTGTTTTGTTTTCCAAAAATTCATGCGTATGTAACCTTCTTAGTCCATATGCCCTTGACATTCATCCAAGTTGCTGAGTATGTCAGTAGTTCATTCCTTTTTATTGCTGCGTAGTATTCTGTTATATGGATGCATCATGGTTTGTTTGTTTATTTATTCAACCACTGAAGGACATTTGGGCTGTTTTGAGATTTTGGCTATTTTGAAGAGCGCTGCTAAAAACATTCTTGAAAAGGTGTAAATGTGCATATAAGTGCTCATTTATTAAAGCCCTGATGGTACAGTAGTTAAGCACTCATGCACTAACCAAAAAGATCAGTGTTTTGAACAGCTCCATACTTGATGATCTGCTCCAGTAATTAGATCACAGTTCAGGGGCTGTTCCCTGTCCTATAGTGTCACCAAGTCAGAATTGACTCATTAGCACGTAACAATAGAATTTAATTTACCGATTGATTACATTTTTTATTATTTAGTGTCTTATTCACTGAAGTACTAGTCTTAAGTGCCTGAAGCAGTTAGCAGCACATGTCGTGGTGGTGTCCGGAACCATCAAGTTGATTCCAATTCATGGTAACCCCATGTACAACAGGATGAAACATTATCCTGCCCTGAGCCATCCTCACAGTTGATATATTTCAGCTCATTGCTGCAGCCAGAGTTAGCTGTGACTTCTCTTTTACAGTCATGTCTCACCATCAAACTTAGGTCCTGAAAGCTTCATGCTATCTGTGTCTTTATAGCCAACTCTACTTTGAACAGTTCTTTCCTGGTCAGATTTTGAATGACTTCCAGCCTGAAAGACTCGTCTTCTAGCACTATATCCCACAATGTTCCTCTGCTGTTCATAAGATTTTCAGTGGCTAGTTACTCAGAAGTGAACCACCCACTCCATCCCCAAGCAACTAGGAAACTTGGCCTAAAAGACGCCAGCCAGTTGGGAATGTAAAAGGCTAATTTTTAGTAGAAGTAAAGCAGCACCTCCCACGTGTTTTTGGCGATCATATCAGACTTCTGACTTGGGAGAGACATGGTGAGGTTGAGGAGAAGCCTCTTGGGAGAATACTTTGGCAGTGATATCAGAATGCCAATACTAATCTTTCCCACTAAAGATAACCTGAAAGCAGACTTGGTCCCATAAAGCATAACATCATCATTCTTCCCACATTAGTCGGTTTCATTTCAGTTACGCTCTTAGTGAAAAGAGAAGAGTGTAAGTTAGAGATAGAGGGGAAGTAATGATGAATATGAGAGTTTATAAGGGTTGATCAGTTTACCAAAATATGTGTCTGTAGCCAATAGGCATTGCCTGCACTGGGCAGCATCTTTTGAATAAGCTGGTAAACGCCACATACATCGTATTCACTTTAAACTCCGATGCAGCTAAGGCCCTAAGCCAGGGCAGCTCTGTACTTTGTTAAAATTCAAGTACCTCACTGTAAACCCTATTCATTAGATTGTGGAATTCAGTAAACACCAGTCAGATCTTGGATCCTATCCAGTGCACAAAAGTTTTTGAAGGTTCAACAAGGTTTTGTTTTAAGGTGGTACCGTATTCAAAGTTTGAGGAAAACTTTAAGATAAGTTTGTTTCCTCGTTAAAATTTTTTAAAATAAATGGCATGTACTCTTAATGATTTAAAATAAACAAAACTATATTTTTGCAACCCTACATATATGTACTACTGATATTTTTATGAGCAACCTTTTAGACATCTCTCCAGTGTGTGTATACATGCTTTTGTCCTTCTAAATGGAGAAGAGGCCGTAGTGATGCTTAGAGTATGGGGTTGAATCCCCTTATATTTTCAATAAGAAAGATCAGTACATGTAAGAAAGAAAATTAACTTCAGCATCTAAACAGCCAGAACACTCTGCAAACATTAGTGCTTAAATATTTTGAGGATTATCTTTAATTACTGGGAGAAATTAAATAATTCTGCAATATATCTGCTCTGGGTTGTCAGCCAGGTATCTGGGTAGACTCTGTGGGAGACCCACCTGGGCGGATCTTAATATTTGAGTAAAACAGAAAACTTACTAACTTCCTACCTTTCTCAAGTAAATTAGAAACATATCCACAGATTGCCAGCTATTTTGGGGGTCTTGGTCTAATTAGATGGAAGTATGGGCTTGGGAAGAAACTAGGAGAAATGTGACCAATTCAAGTGAAATTTACTGTTTCTTTAATATGGCCACCTGACAGGTTGTATGCAAGGAGCCTCGGTGGCATAGTGAGTTTTGCATTGGGCTGCTACCTACAAGGTCAGCAGTTCGACTCCACCAGCCTCTGAGGGTGAGGCTTTATACACCCCTAAGATTTACAGCCGCAGTAACCCAAAGGGGCAGTTCTATTCTACCCTGTAGGGTCACTATGCATTGAAATCTGCTCAATGCCCATGTGTTTGGAGTTTATAGGTTGTGTGTGCCAGGTTTTCTATTAAAATTCTTGTGCAGAATCAATTCAGTGATGCTACCATGGCTGATTAAATGTATAAGGAGATCATTAAGAATCATTTTCTAACCTCTATAAATTCAATAGTAGTCAATTTAGATGTCTTTCATTGCCCGTAGCTGGTAGCCCAATAGGTGTACGCTGCCTTAAATGTTCCAAAAGCATGTCTTTGCTCTTGGCAATGACTGGAAACTAGGAATTTCTGCCAAAGTTCTTGTGATCTAATCCTCTCTTGAAAGCACAAAGCTGAAGCATGCATTGAAATTCTCGAGTCAGCAGCTCAGGGAATATAGTGATTGTGTCCTGCTTATTTTTCTAAGATGAAAAAAAAAAACCCTCCTTGGTGACCTGAAGCAGCTGTCCTTCACTGCCTCCACCCAGAACAACATGGAATATAACTAAGCATTGTAAGTGTGTGGCACACACAACTACATGCAAGCTATATCAAAATGCATGCTGGCATTAGCATTTAATAAATTTTTTTGTATGTTTAATTTCAGCAGATCTTATTTAATAACTTAAAAATAAAGTCACCTCTTCTAATCATTTTGATTTCAACAAAATATTTTATAGTGAATACCTATGTTTTAAGAAGCATATTAAAAAAAAGCATGTCCTGATTTTTTGTCTTTTAGACTGGATAACCTATAGGTTAGTCAGTTTCATAAGCTTTTATAGCTTCTAGCGCTATAGGAGATTCTATATCTGCTATTATTTAATAATGATCATAACTTTTTAGTTTAAATGCTCATCATGCATTTAATTTATGCTTAAGGATTTACCGTGTTGGAATTTGAGAAAGAGGGAGAGAGGTAAATTCCTGATGGAATTTCTTGAAGTTGGCAGAGGTGATCATGACTGATTCATATACATTCACCTGTTTATTAACATCTGTCAGAGTTGACTCAATGGCAGAGAATATTTGAAATAAGGGTGTTGTGCCTTGAATGGCCAAAGTTGCCAATATTGACTAGGGTAAAAAAAAATGTGTTGTTGTTTTAAAGGATACTTTCAATGGGCCTTAAAAAGAAAAAGCAAAAATACTAACCTCCTCCTTTGCCTTGGTTTGTGTTCATAGTCAAGTTCATCCGGGAAGTGACGCCCTTTATCAAGAAACCATCGTTAGTATCGGATCTGCCATGGGAGGGCGCTGCTCCCCAGTCCCCAAACTTCAGTGGCAGTGAGGACTCCGGTTCACCCAAACACCAGAACAGCACTAAGGACAGGAAAGTCATCCCTCTCAAAATGTGCTTTGCTGCTAGAAACCTAAGCATGCCGGATCTGGAAAACAGGTGAGCTGTACCTAAGGAGAACATCGGGCTTACAGCTTTGAACCTTAAGAGCTTGTGGTGGTATTATGCCACTCTTATGACTAAATGGTTCAGGGAAATAGCAGTCTAACAGGAAAGGATTATTTTTAGAATTCAATGTTTAAATACACACACATATATGGGTAGAAATGTTTGAAATGGCACGGAAGAAACAACAGTGGGAATGAAATGGGATTTGTGGGTAGAAAGAAAGAGAGTGCTACTACTATTCACTTGGTATCTTTGTTTGGTTTCTGTTGTTTTTGTTTCGTTTTATTGTTACTGTAAACATGTGTTACTTCATAATTGAATTAAAAATTGTTAAAATATCGCCACTCTCACCACTGTTCCTGAAGGGATCATCCGTCCTATACTCCCTGTGTTTCCATTTCCTATCTGTACCAGTATACGGGAGGGTAGAGGGAGGATAGGGTGGAAAGGGGCAACCGATTACAGGGATCTACATATAACCTCCTCCCTGGGGGTCGGACAACAGAAAATTGGGTGAAGGAAGACATCAGACAGTGTAAGATATGACAAAATAATAATTTCTAAATTATCAGGGGTTCATGAGGGAAAGGGGGCGGAGAAGGAGGGGGAAAAATGAGGAGCTGATACCAGGGGCTTACGTGGAGAGCAAATGTTTTGAGAATGATGAGGGCAGCGAATGTACAAATGTGCTTGACACAAATGATGTATGTATGGATTGTAATAAGAGTTGCATGAGCCCCTAATAAAATGATTAAAAAGGAAAAAAATGTTAAAATACTTATTATACATGCACATATCTCTTTAGTTGAAAATTTCTTATAGCAGAGTCAAAGATGCACATTTTAAATCTGACTGAATCAGTAGTGTGACCTTGACTAGTAGCATCTCTTGACCTCAGCTTCTTCACTTATAAAATGATGGTGTGTATTAGATAATTTCTAACATTCTTCAAGGTATATAACTGTTTGGGTTCTATGACTTCGTTTCACCAACACCGTGAAATAGTCCTGGTAGATCTAGTGTTAGCTGGAGATTCTAAAACCAAAACCAAATCCACTGCTATCGAGTCAGTCCCAACTCATATGGAGCCTATGGGACAGTGAAGACCTGCCCTGCGGACTCTCTAGACTATAAATCTTTACGGGGATAGGAAACCTCATCTTTGTCCCATGGAATGGCTGGCGGTTTCAAATTGCTGACCTTGCGTAATCCACACCCCCATCAGGGCTCCTATAGTTGGAGATTAGGAAAGGGATGGTGGGGAAAAGTTTAAAAACTTGTCTGAAGAAATAGAGCTTAAAAGGCATGGTTGAAAACAGACCTTTTATAAGATGCTTACACTTTTGAGGTTGCCTCTAATTTTTATGCACTGCTGGATAGGACAGAGTACAGAAGATGAGGGACCGTCTTAATCATTTAAGGGCATAGATGAGTTACAACTCCGTCCTCCCTTCCATCAAGTCAGTTATGCCTCTCAGTGACTCTAAGGAAGGAGTAGAATTACCCCATAGCATTTTTGAGGCTGTAAATCTTTACAGAAACAGACAGCCTCATCTTTCTCCCAAAGAGCAGATAGTGGGTTTGAACCACTGGCCTTAAGGTTAGTAGCACAACACTGTACCACTGGGGCTCCTTAATACATGTCCTACTCTGTAATAAATGTGTGGTGTGCCACAGACTAAATGAGATCATACATGTGAGGGAGCCTCCTCCTGCAGAACTTCAAGCACATATAGTGGGTGCTCAAAAAAACAGTAGCCTAGAAAAGTTTTCACGGAAACCTGTTTATCTCTTTTATAAAATTATATTCTGATATATTTGGATTGCTTTTTTTTTAAAGTATGAGACATTTTAGAAATATACATTTCTTTCTGAAATGTTCTACAACCAATCAACGGATGCCTGGTTAATTCATTCCAACTCATGCATATCTAAATGCAGTGTGGCTTTATATTTAGTGAATTTCCATATTCTTTCATAAAGTAAGTATGTAGTTTGTAAAGCAAACCATCGCTGCCTCTTAAATCCAGATTCACATATTTTGTCTTCAAATGGGTTGCATTTATATACTCTTTGTTCTGTGGAATGTTGATATTTTTAAAAGTTAGCTTGTAAGGAGCATAGGAAGGAACTCTGGTGGCATAACCGTAAGGTCAACAGTTTGAACCCAGCAGCTACTACATGTAAGAAAGATGAGGATTTCCACTCCTGTGAAGATTGGAAATTCACAGGAGGTGGTTCTACTTGGTCCTATAGAGTTGTTATGAGCTGGAATCAACTTGATGGCAGTGAGTTTGGGAGCGGGGCATGGTTGAGGTGCCAAAAAGAAGGAAATGAAAACAAAATAGGACTGAGAGACAATGTGATATGGAAGAACAAATATAACCTAGTTTGTCAACTGACTGTCAGGCTGAGGAAAGTATTCAGGCTAACTTTCTTCATTATAAAGTCATTTCTGAGACTAGGTCCCCATTAATTCTGATGTAGTTGGGTATTGGGAAAAAGGACCAAGTCTTAAAAGGTTTCTGTAGAACCCCCTAGAGTTGTAGGGAGTGGGGAACTGAGGAAAGAGGAAGGTGACAGAACTTGACCTACTTAAAGTTGTACTATTTTACCATCTAGATAGAAGATGTCTTTTAGAGCCAGCACTTTGGCCATTGTTAGAAGTTGGGGGCAGGATCCTCTATGACATACCTTAACACAGAAAACATCTGGTGGGTAGTCAGCTTTAAAGTAAGTCTCCAGAGCCAGGTGGGGAGGATAGTTTGGGCCATGATAGTTGTGGCCCACCCAACTTTCCTGTACATGAGACCAACGTGTAGTGTATGTCAGAGGAAGGTCATTGATGATCCAGACGAGTGTGGGGAAATTTGTGTCTAGACCTCATTGAAATACTGACATTTCAAATTGATTTGCTGTTTGTAAACTGTACATTAGAAGGTAGTCAAGGTTATTCCTCGGATGATATCACTTCACTTGTCTTCCAGTGTGCTTTCTAGAGAAAAAGAGAAGCAGTGGAATTACGAGTTGGCAGGGATCATGCATAACTGAGGGTGCACCCAGGGGACTATGTATCTGTCCTTTTGTGTCTTGGAAAGAAACTGGTTTAAAACCATTGTCTGATCAAACTTCTGTTATGAGAGAACTAGTGAAAGTTAGGATGATGGGCTCTAACTTTGACCAAGCTATTGGTTTTCCATAAACCTGAGTTTTCTTCCATTGGAGGGGAGATTATACAAGGATTAAGTGAGAAAATGATTGTAAAATCGGCATAATAGGCTTTCAATATATCATCATTATTATAAGTGCTGTTAGTGCCCTGATGATCGTAAAAAAAACTCCTTAATGTCTTTGTCCTGTTTTCTCTATCTGTAAAGTAGACATCATAATGCCAGCCTGGCTGCATCCTTTAGAACTATTTCAAAGACTAAATGCTTGCAAAATCACTTGGCCCTCTTTAGTCCTCACACAGAGCTCAGCTCCGCCAGAGGAAATGGCCTTACAGGTGGCTTGGCCGCAGCAGTTACACCGAGGGGAAAGTGATGCAAGTAGGAACAGCAAAGTGTATTTCATTAGCATGTCTGTCTCCAAGACACATCTCAAATTACAATTTTGTGTAACTGAGCATATTTCTTCTCCAAAATCTTACATCTAATTCCACATAGAAATTTTTTTTTAATCATTTTATTAGGGGCTCATACAACTCTTATCACAATCCATACACACATCAATTGTGTAAAGCGCATTTGTACATTCATTGCCCTCATCATTCTCAAAACATTTCCTCTCCACCTAAACCCCCGGTATTAGGTCCTCATTTTTCCCCTCCCTCCCCGCTCCCCCCTCCCTCATGAGCCCTTGATAATTTATAAATTGTTATTTTGTCATATCTTGCCCTGCCCGACGTCTCCCTTCACCGACTTTTCGGTTGTCCGTCCCCAAGGGAGGAGGTCACATGTAGATCCTTGTAATTGGTTCCCTCTTTCCTATCCACTCTCCCTCTACCCTCCCTGTTTCGCCACTCACACCACTGGTCCTGTAGGGCTTATCCGCCCTGGATTCCCTGTATTTTCAGTTCCTATCTGTACCAGTGTACATTCTCTGGTCTAGCCAGACTTGCAAGGTTGAATTCGAGTCATGGTAGTGGGAGCAGGGAGGAAACATTTAGGAACTAGAGGAAAGTTGTATTTTTCATCGTTGTTACATCGCACCCTAACTGGTTTGTCTCCTCCCCGAGACCCCTCTGCAAGGGGATCTCCAGTGGCCTTCTAATGGGCTTTGGGTCTCCACTCCGCACTCCCCCCATCATTCACTATGGTAAGATTTTTTTTGTTCTGATGATGCCTTATACCTGATCCCTTCAACACCTCGTGGTTGCATAGGCTTTCTTTGCCACGTTTGCATATGCACTCATTTGTCTTCAGTGATCCATTCTACACCTCGTGATCACACAGGCTGATATGTTGTTCCATGTGGGCTTTGTTGCTTCTGAGCTAGATGGCTGCTTGTTTACCTTCAAGCTTTTAAGACCCCAGACGCTATATTTTTTGATAGCCGGGCACCATCAGCTTTCTTCACCACATTTGCTTATTCACCTGCTTTGTCTTCAGCGGTTGTGTCGGGAAGGTGAGCATCATAGAATGCCAATTTAATAGAAGAAAGTATTCTTGCATTGAGAGAGTACTCCACATAGAAACTTTGAGCTAGAAATAGGCTTTAAAAAAAGAAAGAAGCTTAACATGTTCTCTAATCTAGAAAATACTCTTGGATCTGGTTTTTCAAAACTTGAGGTAAACATCCAATGGTCCATCATTCATGGTTTTCCCCCCTGATATTTTATTATGAAAGATTTTAAGCATGTATAGCAAAGTCAGAGACTTTTACCTTCAACATCTACATTTTGCTATACACCTAATTCCTCACTTATCAACTCATTTTCTGGCCTTTCACATTTAGACAGTAGCAAAAACTCGATCCACCTCTCTAAAGTT